CGAACGATTTCCGCGTGTCCCAGTTTATCGAAACACGTCTCCTAAATATTGTTGCTTCAGAATTTGTTAAATATCTCTTCGAACCTCAGTTTAGATCTAGATTGCGCGCTAGGCATAAAACAGGAAAAAGCAAAAGAAAATACAACAGTATTTACAAATTTACGAAACTTAAAATTCGTTTAAATTCCGCACACTTTGTTCGTTGTCTCAGCTAAAGATATCGAACCACATCTGTAAATGTTTTACTTACATATGGGAAGTAATTTATTTCCAATCTTATTTAAACATAATAAATTGATTTACATCGGAACGGTGTCCTATGTGTCTTTTGGAGGGATTGAGAAATTATGCATAGAGAAATCTATAAAGAATTATCGATTTGTCGCGAACAAGTTCTATGATATCTGAGCAGAGATGCTAATTGCCCAAACATAAAATTTACATGCACAGGAAGTTACGTTTTGAAGGGATTTCAAATTGCTCGACTGCTAAGGATTCGTAAATATATTCAAAAATAATAATGTTTTGCATTAAATGATCGATATCTGAACCTGCCGAATAAATTCCCGGTTCCAAAACTTAGAATTTAAATCGCTGTTAGAAAATTTGTTCCGCCAAAGTATTACGAAACCTTTCAAACAATTAGGGGGGATTTTTCCAAAGTGAATCCTGGCTGTTTTGTTTACACCTAATTTCAAATGTTTTCCTATTGTATGGCAGTGGTTTGAAACCACCTGTTTATTTGCGTATGCGTAAACTGGCTTTCCCATGTGTTTGGGACTTCCCACGGATAGACCCAAGCCATCTTTGGAAATTTCACTTGAATTTCAAATCAACTTAACCTCGACTGCTTTATATTATTGTAAAATAATTGAGTTTCGTCGGACACAGTTTTTTGCAAGGATATCAGTTTGTGCAACCGCTTCGTTTGAGTATCTTAGACGTTCGTACAAAGCTTTTGAACAATTGGCCAGCACGGGACTCCGTTGTCTGTGAAAAAAGAAGTAAACATTTCTGGGTCACAAAGATCCATGGATGCCCCTTCAAGGTAAGAATATACAGAAGGTTTCGAATTTCTACTCTCGGCTGGAGTACAGCTAAAAATCGTGTTCGAAACGAATAGTGCCTTTAAATCCACTAGTCTAGTCAACAAACCTAAACATCATTCAACCACTGAAACAAAATTTCGGTATGACCGAACTGAATTCATCTGAATTTGCAAGAATTCATTTTTTTTAATGCGTCTGCATGTGCTAAAAGTTTTACCTTATCCAGAAAATTTCGATATTTTCAATTACGATTAAAATAACGTATGTGCCTAAACATTTTCAACGTGTTTGCGTCAAAATCAAACATGATTGAAAAGTGTTAAAGATGAACGCCTTGCACTTTTTTGATAACTGACTAGAATCATAAATAGAGCGTTTTTTATTTTATCTTCATGAAAATGTATATTATGTTGACAAGAAATGTAGTGGACCATGCCTTATATTTTTTTAACACCAAGCATGGGAAAAATTCATTGTCTTGTATTTCAATGAGATTCTGCTTGGTTTACAACAATCTTTTTAATTTAATGATTAAAATTCAATCTTACAGTCCCCTGGTTGTTTAACATTCACAGTATAAGCAAAATATTCTATCTGAAAACCAAAATTGAAAAGTTAATAGTTACAGTGGGGAAGTAAAGCTTGTGAGAGCAAAATCTGGGGACATTTCGCTTTATAAAAATGTCAGGTTTTGCATAAGTTTAATAAATAGAAAAATTGTATCGATGCCAATATGTATTCCATGGAAGACTTAATCGTTAATAATTTGTTACTCGAAGCAGCTGCTGCAGTCAATTCAACTAAAAGTTTGTTGTCGACACTTTAATGGTATTGTAATATTATTTTGAAACGTCTATTGCGAAATTAGGTCACCTAAGAATTTTTCGCTTCACGGCTTTTGAAGAATGAAGCGAATTTTTAAAAGAAAGGTCTCTGACGATAAATCAAAAAAATTACTCTGATAAATTCGATTTATTTTGAAAAATGACTCGTACTGGAAATTTCATCCAGAGCTGGCTTGTACCAATTGAGACGTCCCTCTCTTTTTTACCTTATCTATTAAAATGTAAATTCTCAGGTTAGACATTCATTGGAGAACAAAGGAAAATCATCGAATATTCCCATCAATTACTATTTTGGTTATATCGACGGGGAGCTCGCCGAATTTAATTTTAAGCCAAACCGAGTTCCACACATATAATCCTATTGACAAACTCTTCCCATTACATCTAATATCTTCAAGCTAATTTATAAGTCTAAACGCCACACTTCGTCTGATTCCATACACTTACATTGGTTAGCCGCCCTGAGCCACAAAGAGTTTAATATTGAGAAACGAGAGGATTAACCTTGACTTTGCCTGTCGCAGCGTGCAGAGTGTATCACAAAATTCACACCTTCGCTACTCATCTGAATACAAGTCCTTTAAAGAAACCCGAGAAGCAAACAAAAAGCTACCTCTTGTTGATAAAATCAAGTCAAACATTGTAAAACAACAAAAAAAACCTATTAAACTGTTTCCAGCAGGTTTGTCATTATTGTTGTTAGCTCTTCCCAAAATAATGAGATTTAAAAGCGAAAGGATGGCAAACTTTTCTTTTCTTAAGAGAGGTGCAGTGATGTAATGGCATTTTCCATTGTGGCCCTTATAAATGATCACATTTCTTGTTAGAGATATAAGTCATATGTCTTTTTTTATTCACAATTTCTTTTTTGTGGCACACAATATTTTAGGAAAATTTTCAAAACTAAGATAGAAATGTCTGCTATATGACGACATAAACTCTTCCGTATTCTTTTAACCAGATTTAACAAAGTGCGTCATTTCTGCCCGAACCTTCAATGAAAGGAAGTTTATTTTGACAGGAATACGTCTCTGTGAGTGAAAGCTGATGAAGAATGAAACATGTAGGAGAATGTGTACAAGGGTACATGTAAGCTTGTTCTATGCGGCAGTCATTTTCGCAACTTGCTGCCCGGGAATATCGGCAACAGGTATGCTCTACTTTTTAGTTATATCACGTTCAAAATTGTGGATACGCAAACAGAATCACGGATATCAAATATCAATTCTAGTTTCGCATTTTATAAAGTTTCTTTACCTGACTGATTTACAAGGCGAGATAAAGGCGGTTCTTGTTGTTGTTTTTTCGCTGTTTTGTTTATGATATTTCCTCAATTTTAACTAGTTTTTAAATGATCTTTTTCTAGTTGAGACGCACGAGTTCCGCCTTCTCAGGAATCTTTTCAAAAATTACAATAAAGAAGTGCGACCAGTCTTCAACACAAGTAACCCTGTTCATGTCAAGTTTAGTTTGAGTTTGATACAAATTATTTCAGTGGTAAGTTTACCGGCGTACTGCCATTGTTAATCCCACCACGATTTAGGAAACTAAAAGCTCACGTTGCAATGAAAAAGAGCTTTCAAAAAGGGCCGGCAGTCGGTCAAAGCCACCAGCTCGTTTGCAAGCTTTATTCAGCCACAGTCACCCCATTGAACTAAATTTGCTGAGGAATTCGAACAATCGTACAATACCTGAAACATCGTGGAACAAATGTCTTCGGAAGCCATTTCCCAGATTTGAAAGAAAGAAAGAAAGAAAGAAAGAAATGTGTACGGCATGTTTCTAAGTTTTGGGTGGAACTGAATGCATACTTCACCAGTTTTAAAAATGTTTAGATGTGTGAATCGTTTGCACGTTCAGAATTTCTCGAACATTCGTGTGCGCTACGTTTACTTCCTGGGACATATCTGAAGAGATAGACCACCCTTTCTATCGGTTTACCAGCATAGCAACCCACTCTATGAATAACAGGGAGGCAAGAAAAAAGTTTGTAGTATAGAGCACGAGCCGATGGCTAGTCCTCCCGAGTTCTCTCATCTCCGAGACGACTTCACCATTTTCATGTAAACGGTTGATTGAATTTTTCGAAGAGTTAAGTCGAAGGTTAGTCCGGACAGGGTGACTCGGGGGAAAAGGGCTGAGATAGAGCCGGGTGACCTGATGATTGCATAATCACAGCAGGTTGATTTCAAGGTACATTCAATTAATTGAAAACCAAAGGTAGACATTATGTCCATAAGAGCTTGTTTAACGTAATTTAGTTTTAATATATAGTTAGTCTAGAAATTTGTTTTGTTACAGTTTGTTTCAATCTTTTCTCTTAATCCTGACTTCCAAAATTTCGAATGAAAAATTTTCCTCTGTTCCACAATTTCTGATTAAGATCTCCCAAACTATCATTTACAACTCGTATTCTTAAAAGGACACTTAGGGTAATACTCAACGAATTTCGTAAACATTTAATTGCTAATTAGTCAAAAAAAATGTCTTGTCTTTTACCTTCAGAACAGCAAGTCTCAACTCCTGACCCTCAACGTCTGGATTAGACAGGTAATTTCAATTTCCTTGTTAAATAATGCTGCACCAATTCTCAGCACTGAGTTCAAGGATGGCTAGCAAAAATTTCCTGTCTACAATGACTTACAATTTAATAGGTAACTCAGTGACATGGTTGCAAACTTTATGGTAATGGGACATGACGAAACTTCAAAAGTGAGAAAGGAATACCATTTTTGGCAAAAAAAAACTCTGAAAGAAAGAAAAAGAGAAAGAGAGAAAGAAAGGATAAGAGAAAGAGAGAAAGAAAAAAGAAATAACAGATGGATTAAAAGGAAAAAAATAGGCATATGTTAAATAATCTTAACTCAAAACTACCATGTAAAATCAAACATGTTTTGTTTGTGCTCCGTTTTTTTACCAGAAATGGATTAATCCAATGCTAGGATGGAACGAATCCGAATATGGTGGAATAAAATCAGTAAATGTGGACCCTTCCAAAGTATGGATACCTGACGTCATTCTTTATAACAAGTAAGTGGGATACAATATAAGATGTGGTGTAGTCTTCGTTCTCAGTTCCATGACTCTTTGTAACTTTCGACTCGTAACAAGTAACCTGCGTTCGTCTACTCAGTATTGGTTTTCCATCTTTGCCTCCTATTAAAAAAAAATCTGAACGATGACTGAACACGAAACCGGACATTTAACATTTTGCTCATAGTTTTCCGATGGAAAATTCATGGATGTGGGGCTATCAACATCCTCAAAAGATCTGGGTAGTTGAATTAATGATCCAAATCAAAGGTTTTTCATTTTAGTTCATGAAAAGGACACACCTTTCCATTTACATTGGCAAACTGTGATTCTAACAACTTCCACCTTCTTATTTGGGGAAAAAATTTGAGTAAAGAAAAAAAGTGGTAACTTTACGTACACACAATTTTATCTTCAGCGCTGATGACAGCAACGGAGGTGGACTGGAAAAATATAAGACTGCTGTAATTTTGGCTGCTGATGGAACCAATGAATGGAACGCCCCTGCGTCTTTTACAAGCACTTGTAAGATCAACGTGGCTAACTTCCCATTTGACAAGCAGAACTGTTCGCTAAAATTTGGTTCATGGACGTTCCAAGGGGACCGCTTGACAATGGAGTCGGATTCGGATTCCGCTGAATTGAAATTATACATACAAAATGGAGAATGGAACCTTATTGAGATGCCAGCGAAACTGAATAAAGTGTTTTATAACTGCTGCAAATATCCTTATCACGATGTGACGCTGAATTTGATCATCAAAAGAAAACCTCTCTATTATGTTTTCAATTTAATCCTACCTTGCGCTTTGATTTCCACACTTACACTAATCAAGTTCTTTCTACCACCGGAATCTGGAGAAAAAGTCGGTTTGGGAATCACGGTGCTATTAGCAATGACTGTCTTCTTGTTACTCGTAGCTGAGACACTACCCGCTACTTCAGACGATGTTCCGTTACTTGGTCAGTATTTCATCGCTACAATGTTTGTCACTGCAATGTCACTCGTCAGTACTTGTACCATTTTGAATTTTTTCCACCGCAGTCCGTCGACTTCACCAATGCCTCAGTGGGTCAGAGTTATCATTCTTGGCTACATGGCAAAAGTGTTTTGCTTCCCAAACGACAAAGAGGAGGAAATTAAAGTTACACCCAAAACCAAAAGAAGAAAAATTGAATTTGACTTAAACGGCGACGTCGTGTGCGACGATGACACGTACATGACAGTCCAAGAGCTCGAGAGTTCAGCCAGGTTTCGGGATGACATGTCCGTGATATATCAGAGTGGTCGAAGTACTCCAAGCAGGCGAAGTGCCCGCAGTATGAGTATCGTAGGGGGTCACTGCTCGTTCACAGAGAGACTCCTCGAGGACATAAGCATTCTGGCCGACGATGTACGTGCCAGACAAGAAGATGACAGGCAAAGGGAGGAATGGCGCATTGCTGCTCTCATCATGGATCGGATGTTTTTCTGGTTGTTCTTGTTCATAACTTCCCTTTCAACATTTTTAATTTTTTTCCGAGAAACCGTAATGGGTTGAGTTCAATAGGACCAGAAACACTTGTGTCATGAGCTTTTTTTTTTTAGACCAGAAATGTCGAACTTGATTTAAAACTGATCTCCACAAGTGGATGCTCAACAGCGGACTGGTGCAGTTCGGAAATAAGTTCATAAGATATTGCAAAGCATTCTGCATATGCTTTCAGCCATCCAAATTTTTCAAATGCCACTTTGTATAATGCGGATCGCACATTTAATTTCTAAGTAAGAAAAACTAGCTGTATATAGGTAAGCAGACAAACCTTTTTTCTCGTCACGTAATATCTTCAGAAGCTTGTTTGACTGGTTTGTTATTGGATATGTAGAAATAGATGCTATGTCTTTTCATTACTTCTTTCCTCATAAAAATTAAAGCTCAGTTCTTTTGGAGGTTACCAGAATGATTCAATAATATCTTTCAGTTAAAAATGAGGATATATGAAAGTAAACTTTATGTTTTAAGATGTGGTATGTTGGGAGAACAGATATCAATTCAGTGTTTGAAGAAAACAAGTTATCAGAGATAATTATGTGTTATCATGGATATCGAGCAGACCCTTTCCAAAAATTGTGAACAACATTTGAGGGCATTTCCCATGGGAAAAATGATCCTCGCAGCCAGGGCATCCATGGCTTCAAGCAGAATAACCACTGAAAGATTCAACTCTGTCTGAACAGAAACATTAGATATCTGACGGTTTAAGATAGATCAATTATTGCAAACATATTTGCCAATGGAGCTTAAGTGCCTAAAATTGTACACCCTCTCACTCTTTAAACAGCACTCTCTCAACTGAATAAAAACTTAGCTGAAGGAAATTTTATATATGTTCAGGATTTCTGACTTTGATTTTGCTGTAGATTGATTTCCAGTTCAATATTTACAGATTTAATTTCAACCGCAGAGTTTCGCAGAGCCTAACATTTGCATTACAGTAACAGTAGAGTTTTCGACGCATTAAAGCTACGACAGTTTGTGTAAAGCCTTTCCCTTATTAAAAACGTATTCTTGATTAGTACTTACTGAAT